GTCCTGAAGAGCTCAGAGGGGCGGGAGAAAGGAAGGATTATTGTTCCCATTTTACCAACAGGGGACTGAGACTCAGAGAAACTAAGGCGTAGATTGTCAGGAGCTCAGCTCCTACTTAGGCACCAAAATCAGTGGCCAGATCTTCAAAAATGCTCAGCACCCAGCATCTCTGACTGGGAACGGTGAAGAGCCCCCACCTAAGCTCAGGACCCTTCATGACTTGCCCAACACAGGGAGCCTGTAGCGGAACTGGGAAATGAACCTAAATCTCTTGCCCCTCTCCCCTCCCCCCCCAGTGCCTTAACCACAAGACCAGCCTTTCTCCACGTGCTGTAGACGCAGCTGGAAGGGCCCTTCCAGCTGGCCATCCCTCCTGGGAATGCTGCGGTAGCTACAACCTGTTCAGAATTGGGAACACTGACAGGATTCGCTTCTTGCCTTTACCAGCGCCCATGAAAGTTACGTGTCTAAGCAAACAGACTTCATCGATCCCCAAAGGCGACGAAAACCTTGAGAGGGGTCGGGAGCGTGCGACCACCACCACTAGCCGATTCTTCCACACCCAGGTCTGTGCCCTGCTTTCACCTTTCAGAAGCTGCTATCACAGAGCAGCGCTGTGTTCTAAAGATCACTGAGTGTGTCACAGGATCAGAGCTGCCTCCTGCTGCAGGCGGGGGTCTCTAAAGGACACTGTGTCCTTGCTCATTCATAACATTCACGCACGGCCAGTCTCCTGTCCCAGTCTTTGACCACATACCCTGGGAGGCCTGGCTCCTGTTCCGACTGCCACAGTGCACCCTTCGCCAGGGCTTGCAGAGAACCTCCAGACACAGGCTCGCAGCCTCAGAGAGGCTTGCAGCCTCTAAAGGCCATCTGGCAAGAATCTTGGGATCATTGGGGGCATCATTCCTAGGCAGAAGCAATGCAGGATGCCAGAGAAATACACAGCATCCTGCAGCTACCAATGGGGACCTGGGCCCTCTTTGTGTTGTCTGAGTGGGCTGCTCACACTTACAGCTGGAAGCTGAATGGAGCATTTGGCTACAGCACCTGCCCATTAACTTCTGCTCTTGTTTACTCCAGCTTGACCTGGGGGAACATCCACCTCAGCCAGATGTGCCACCGTGGAGACAACAAAGCAAAGTGCCCCTGGGTGACAAACATTTAAACGCCTGTTTCTTCAGCACGACGCAACACTCGGACTATCAGCCACCACCCGAAAGCCAGAGGGAGACGTCCAGCAGCAAGAGCCACCATGAGAGCCACATGCCCTTTAATTATCCCAGTAAGGCAAAGTCCCTCCGATCCTAGCACAGCTCCACAGCCGAGGCTCCCAACCCTGGGACACATCCCAGGAGCAGCTTCAGGCTGCTGTGCCGGGTGCTCTCGGCTGCTCCTTTGCGTGGGATCCTGGTGCTCTGCCCCTGCTACTCACTCTGCCTGCAGCGGGGTGAGCTGGGTATTGAAGTGATGGGTGTGTTGGGATGGGAGGCTGCAGGCATTTGCTGCACTGGGATGGGGGTTGTGTTTGTCTACAAGAATGGGACAGTGACCCCCAAAAGCCAGGCAGGGAACTTAGAATCATAGAATCATAGAATCATAGAATATCAGGGTTGGAAGGGACCCCAGAAGGTCATCTAGTCCAACCCCCCTGCTCAAAGCAGGACCAATTCCCAGTTAAATCATCCCAGCCAGGGCTTTGTCAAGCCTGACCTTAAAAACCTCTAAGGAAGGAGATTCTACCACCTCCCTAGGTAACGCATTCCAGTGTTTCACTACCCTCTTAGTGAAAAAGTTTTTCCTAATATCCAATCTAAACCTCCCCCACTGTAACTTGAGACCATTACTCCTCGTTCTGTCATCTCCTACCATTGAGAACAGTCTAGAGCCATCCTCTTTGGAACCCCCTTTCAGGTAGTTGAAAACAGCTATCAAATCCCCCCTCATTCTTCTCTTCTGCAGGCTAAACAATCCCAGCTCCCTCAGCCTCTCCTCATAACTCATATGTTCCAGACCCCTAATCATTTTTGTTGCCCTTCGCTGGACTCTCTCCAATTTATCCACATCCTTCTTGAAGTGTGGGGCCCAAAACTGGACACAGTACTCCAGATGAGGCCTCACCAATGTCGAATAGAGGGGAACGATCACGTCCCTCGATCTGCTCGCTATGCCCCTACTTATACATCCCAAAATGCCATTGGCCTTCTTGGCAACAAGGGCACACTGCTGACTCATATCCAGCTTCTCGTCCACTGTCACCCCTAGGTCCTTTTCCGCAGAACTGCTGCCTAGACATTCGGTCCCTAGTCTGTAGCTGTGCATTGGGTTCTTCCGTCCTAAGTGCAGGACCCTGCACTTATCCTTATTGAACCTCATCAGATTTCTTTTGGCCCAATCCTCCAATTTGTCTAGGTCCTTCTGTATCCTATCCCTCCCCTCCAGCGTATCTACCACTCCTCCCAGTTTAGTATCATCCGCAAATTTGCTGAGAGTGCAATCCACACCATCCTCCAGATCATTTATGAAGATATTGAACAAAACCGGCCCCAGGACCGACCCTTGGGGCACACCACTTGATACCGGCTGCCAACTAGACATGGAGCCATTGATCACTACCCGTTGAGCCCGACAATCTAGCCAGCTTTCTACCCACCTTGTAGTGCATTCATCCAGCCCATACTTCCTTAACTTGCTGACAAGAATACTGTGGGAGACCGTGTCAAAAGCTTTGCTAAAGTCAAGAAACAATACATCCACTGCTTTCCCTTCATCCACAGAACCAGTAATCTCATCATAGAAGGCGATTAGATTAGTCAGGCATGACCTTCCCTTGGTGAATCCATGCTGGCTGTTCCTGATCACTTTCCTCTCATGTAAGTGCTTCAGGATTGATTCTTTGAGGACCTGCTCCATGATTTTTCCAGGGACTGAAGTGAGGCTGACTGGCCTGTAGTTCCCAGGATCCTCCTTCTTCCCTTTTTTAAAGATTGGCACTACATTAGCCTTTTTCCAGTCATCCGGGACTTCCCCGGTTCGCCACGAGTTTTCAAAGATAATGGCCAATGGCTCTGCAATCACAGCCGCCAGTTCCTTCAGCACTCTCGGGTGCAACTCGTCCGGCCCCATGGACTTGTGCACGTCCAGCTTTTCTAAAAAGTCCCTAACCACCTCTATCTCCACAGAGGGCTGGCCATCTCTTCCCCATTTTGTGATGCCCAGCGTAGCAGTCTGGGAGCTGACCTTGTTAGTGAAAACAGAGGCAAAAAAAGCATTGAGTACATTAGCTTTTTCCACATCCTCTGTCACTAGTTTGCCTCCCTCATTCAGTAAGGGGCCCACACATTCCTTGGCTTTCTTCTTGTTGCCAACATACCTGAAGAAACCCTTCTTGTTACTCTTGACATCTCTGGCTAGCTGCAGCTCCAGGTGCGATTTGGCCCTCCTGATAACATTCCTACATGCCCTAGCAATATTTTTATACTCTTCCCTGGTCATATGTCCAACCTTCCACTTCTTGTAAGCTTCTTTTTTATGTTTAAGATCCGCTAAGATTTCACCATTAAGCCAAGCTGGTCGCCTGCCATATTTACTATTCTTTCGACTCATCGGGATGGTTTGTCCCTGTAACCTCAACAGGGATTCCTTGAAATACAGCCAGCTCTCCTGGACTCCTTTCCCCTTCAAGTTAGTCCCCCAGGGGATCCTGGCCATCCGTTCCCTGAGGGAGTCGAAGTCTGCTTTCCTGAAGTCCAGGGTCCGTATCGTGCTGCTTACCTTTCTTCCCTGTGTCAGGATCCTGAACTCAACCAACTCATGGTCACTGCCCCCCAGATTCCCATCCACTTTTGCTTCCCCCACTAATTCTACCCGGTTTGTGAGCAGCAGGTCAAGAAAAGCGCCCCCCTAGTTGGCTCCTCGAGCACTTGCGCCAGGAAATTGTCCCCTACGCTTTCCAAAAACTTCCTGGATTGTCTATGCACCGCTGTATTGCTCTCCCAGCAGATATCAGGAAAATTAAAGTCACCCATGAGAATCAGGGCATGCGATCCAGTAGCTTCCGTGAGCTGCCGGAAGAAAGCCTCATCTACCTCATCCCCCTGGTCCGGTGGTCTATAGCAGACTCCCACCACTACATCACTCTTGTTGCACACACTTCTAAACTTAATCCAGAGACACTCAGGTTTTTCTGCAGTTTCGTACCGGAGCTCTGAGCAGTCATACTGCTCCCTTACATACAGTGCTACTCCCCCACCTTTTCTGCCCTGCCTGTCCTTCCTGAACAGTTTATAACCATCCATGACAGTACTCCAGTCATGTGAGTTATCCCACCAAGTCTCTGTTATTCCAATCACATCATAATTCCTTGACATCACCAGGACCTCCAGTTCTCCTGCTTGTTTCCAAGGCTTTGTGCATTCGTATATAAGCACTTGAGATAACCTGCTGATCGCCCCTCATTCTCAGTATGAGGCAGGAGCCCTCCCCTCACAGACATTCCTGCCTGTGCTTCCTCCCGGTATCCCGTGTTCCCACTTACCTCAGGGCTTTGGTCTCCTTCCCCCGGTGAACCTAGTTTAAAGCCCTCCTCACTAGGTTAGCCAGCCTGCTCGCGAAGATGCTCTTCCCTCTCTTCGTTAAGTGGAGCCCGTCTCTGCCTAGCACTCCTTCTTGGAACACCATCCCATGGTCGAAGAATCCAAAGCCTTCTCTCCGACACCACCTGCGTAGCCATTCGTTGACTTCCACGATTCGACGCTCCCTACCTAGGCCTTTTCCTTCCACGGGGAGGATGGACGAGAACACCACTTGCACCTCCAACTCCTTTATCCTTCTTCCTAGAGCCACATAGTCCGCAGTGATCCGCTCAAGGTCATTCTTGGCAGTATCATTGGTGCCCACGTGGAGAAGCAGGAAGGGGTAGCGATCCGAGGGCTTGATGAGTCTCGGCAGTCTCTCCGTCACATCGCGAATCTTAGCCCCCGGCAAGCAGCAGACTTCTCGGTTTTCCCGGTCAGGGCGGCAGATAGATGACTCAGTCCCCCGGAGGAGCGAGTCCCCGACCACCACCACCCGCCTTCTCCTCTTGGGAGTGGTGGTCGTGGAACTCCCAACCTCAGGACAGCGCATCTCATGCCTTCCAACCAGCGGAGTCTCCTTCTGCTTTCTCGCCCCAGACATATCATCTGGTCCGCTCTCCGCAACGATACCTGTGGAGAGAACATGAAAGCGGTTAGTTACCTGTGTCTGTGTTACTGGAACCCGGACATTCCACTTACCTCTTCTGGAGGTCACATGTTGCCAAGCTTCTTCACTGGCCTCTTGGCTCCTCTGTGCAACCTGCTCTGTATCTGTAGAGCTTTGTGCCCCTAGAAGCCTATCCTGAGTTTTGTCCAGAAAATCCTCAGTTTCCCGTATGCAACGCAGGGTCGTTATCTGTTGCTCCAGACCTTCAATCTTCTCTTGCAATATGGAGACCAGCTTGCACTTTGTACAGACAAAGTCGCTTCTGTCCTGTGGAAGAAAGACAAACATGGCACATCCAGTGCAGGTCACAACAGCTGAACCCCCCCCCTTCCATATCACCTTCCTACTATGAGCTTCCTCAGAGCAGTTTGCAAGACGTATGCCTCACTGGGCTCACTCCAGGCGAACTCCCAGGCAAACTCCTGCTGTGAGCTGCTCTGCTGTCCCCGCTGCTCAGCTGGTTCTCCGCCGCTCAGCTGGTTCGCGAAGCTCTGGCTATTTTTAAACAGCCAGGCTTCCCTGTCGCAAACAAACAGACACCCTACTGCCCGCCCCCTGCGGGCTAGCAGCCAATCAGACACTCACTCAGGCTCTCACACTGCCCCCCCCAGCAAACACACGCTCGGATACTTCCTCAGCAAGCGAACACACACACACTCGGATACTTACCAGTCCCAGGCAAACTCCTGCTGTGAACTTGTGCTCAGCACAGCACCTGGCAGTGCTGGTCAGCACTCCCAGGGGCTGGCAGGTAGATGTTAATCTGGAAGGCTGGTCACCCTCCCAGAGGGGCAGTGTCAAAGTGCTCAGCGACCAGAAACATGCCACCTGTGTGAGCCTCAGGGTTGCACTGCCATCTTGTGGGTGGCTTGTAGCATATGCTGTTGGACACTGGAGCCAGACACTCGCTCTTCCCTTCCTCTTGCTGGAATTTCCTCAGCTGACTTCCAGAAGCAAAGGCCTTCTCTCGCTGGGTTGGAAGAGGTAGTGGAGTGTTTGAATTATAAGCTTTGTTTGTGCAGCCCCAGGCAGGGATTTATATGGGGCTTTGTGTGGAAGAGGCTAAAAAGATCCCCTCTCATCTCTTGGTTCTTTGCTCTGGAATCTCATTTACTCCTCGGTGGTGGGGGAGCAGGGTATCTCTCCATTCCTTTTTGTTTGCATTATTACTGACTGAATGTATGCTGCAGCGAGCAGGAGTGTGACCACCACCCGAGCACCCCCTCGTGGTCCAGGGTGCTGCTGCAGTGCCCTGCTTTTGTTTCCCCCTCTTCAGGGCACCTTCAGTGGCAGTCCACACATTCCTGCTCAATCAGTGCCCTTCTCGGGGTCTGGGTTTTTATTAAATGAATAAAGTTCCCAAAAGCAAACACAAAAAGAAACAACCATCCAGTCTTACACTGTGAGTTCCACAGGTTAGTTATGCATTGGGTGAGGAAAAATCCTCCTTTGATCATTCTTAAACTTGTTGCCCTTTGTGTCCACCTGTATGGGACAGGGTGAAAAGTGACCAATCTGCCTTCTCCGTGCCATTCATGATTCTGTATATTGCTGTCATGTCCTCTCATGCACCTCCTCTAAAATAAACAGTCAGTCTTCAACATTTTCCTTTACAGAGAATTTTTTCCAGAACTCTTATCATTCTTCTCCCCGTCTCTGAACTCCCTCTAATCCTCTTGTGCCCTCTGAGCTGGGGTGACCAGTCCTGCACGCAGCATTCCAGATGAGGTGGCACCATTTATGTACAGAATGGCATTACAGTGTTTTCCATATCGTTCTTCATCCCATTCCTTATGCACTGTGGCAGTTTTTCTGCCTGCAGCTGTGCCTGGGGCTGCCAATTGTGAGGCCTGTGTCTCTTCTCTCAGTCAGTGCAGACCCCAGACAGGTCTGTGATTGAGCCACACTGTCTGTTGCCTGCTCATTTCATGCCTTGACTTTGCTCTTTATTCCATTTGTGAGCAGGTAAAGGAACTGTCACGACCACGCAAGCTATGCTCGTCCCACACAGACAGCAGACGCTCCGGCCCTCAGAAGAGTCACTGCAGCAGGTACGGCAATAACTGGTGTATGTGGCCAGGTTCAGGACAAAGGCCTAGTGAGACGGATAGCTGAGCAAGTCTTCATGCCACCCAGCAGCTGGGAGGGGAAAGGACACTGCAAGTGTACCTCGCAAGTAGGCCTCTCTGGAGGGAGCAGGGAAGGGTCGGGGGCTGCCCACCTCTGAACTTGGCCCAGTTAGTAGCCCAGTACACAATGTGTTGCCCCCCAGTGGGCCTGTTTAGATACCGAAGGCTGTCCAGCGAACAGACTGGCAGTGAAAGGGTGTGGGCATTATTGGGTGAGGCCAGAACCACCCCAGCTGCACCTCTTCCCTTCTCAGCAGGGAAGCCTCTGCTTTTCTCCTAGAGGGCACTCAGGGTCAGAGCAAGCGAGGGGGCAGGCAGCTCAGAGCTGCTGGCTTGCATAAACTTGAATCCTGCTCCCTACAGGCTAGTGCTCAGCAGCCAGGGAGCTGAGCAGTGGGTTGACTTCTAGGGGCTGTGAGGTTAACGACTGAATCCCCACCACCGCCACCAATGGCCTTTCCTGTCTCCCCAGATTAAATACTCTCACCTGGTCCCGCCATGGCAGGGCCAGCGCTTCTTCGGGACTGAGCATCAGGATGAGTTCACCCCCAAGTACAGCGGCCCTGTGACTATCTGCGGGGGGAACTTCCAAGTGAGCAGCATCCCCCTGGGCACCCTGAAGAAGTACAACCCCCAGCGGCGGATGGTCTTTGCAACATAACGTGCCCCCTTCCTGTGGTGGCTCTCAATGCCACCCGTTAGGGGCTGCCAGCAAATAAACACCGGTACCTGGCTTCTGTGGAGATGCTCCCTGTGCTTTGCCCTCCATGGGTTCGGCAGCACCTGGCTGAGGTCTCTGTGCCAAACTCATCTCAGGAATTGGGCACAGTCATAGCAGGGATGAACTGGGCTAGCTGGCGACAAACCTGCCTCCAGGTCAGTGTCCAGCTGCACTCCAGGCTGCCCTCTGTGCTCCTGCTGAACTCCCATTCGCAGAGGGGAGGAGTCACAACCTAGCTCCATTTCCCCTTGATGGAGGCAGGTAACAAATCCCAGCTGGGATCAGAGCCCCCTTGTGCTGAGCGCTACTCACTCACTGGGAATGAGACTGTCCCTGCCTGTCTGAACTGACAAGACGGACAGTGAGTGAAGAAGGGGACAGACACAGAGATGAAGTGGCTTGCCCAGAGGCATGCAGCAAGTCAGTGGCAGAGCTATGGACTGGCTAGGGAAAAGGGGCGGCCGAGCAAGTAGGGTCTTGGGAGACCCGGGTTTAGTTCCCAGCTCTGTTGCAGCCTCATTGTGTGACCTGGGGTAAATCACTGAATCTGCCCTGTGAACAGGGGGATGATACTTCCTACCCCTGTGTGGCTAAAAGTAATTGATTGTGAGATGTTGGGCATGACCAGGAGGAGTCCAGACAAGTACCTTGTTAGAAAAGAGCCCAGGTCTCCTCAGGCCCAGGTCAGGGTCCTGTCCACTGGTCCCACCCTGTATCTGCTGCACAGCCTTCTCAGCCTGGCTGGGAAATGACACCCCCGTAAAATGCTTGAGCCACCTTCCTCACTACCAGCCTAAAAAGCAACAAAAAGTTGGGTGCAGAGCATGTGGGCTGCAGGCCTGTAGCTCTCAGCCCCTGGTGGCAGCCACTCTCTGCAATAACCTGGGGAGTGGGGGGCTGAGCGTGAGTGAAAGGGGGGGATGCTGCACTAATGGGGCTAATCGCACACTTCCCTCAGCCTCCATTCCTATCTCTGAGTGTGAGTGCAGGGAAACACTAGCAAGGCTAGGAGGGGCTCCTCTGCTGGGGCTCCCAGTTGTGAGGGGCTGTAATCCCCTGGTGGCCAGGGATGTAATATGACACAGTGGGTAGTATCATAAGAACCCTAGGGAAGAGTATGCCCCGTTTCCCACCCTGCTGAGCAGTTACTCACCCATGCAGTGCTGGTGCCTTCCATGCGTCTGCATGAGTATCCGCTCACCGGCATGCATACGGGGGTGCAGTTTAGTCTGTGGTACTTCATGCCAATAACCCACCCTTCTTCGCTGGCTGTGCAGTGCAAAACTTCTGTTGCACAGAACCAGGGCCTGTGTTCTTTGCTCCTTTGTTGTGCAGGAGCAGGTGGTGGGAACCCATGTGACTGAGAACAAACACTGGGAAAACAGGACGAAGCTGTAGGGCGATTCCCTTTGCTAGAATCACAGGAGCCTGGGCCCATGCCTTCAAGTGCCTCTTCCTCAGGCTGTGAGTTGGCAGGGACAAAGGGATGTGTCACCTCTCCACTGGGTTTAGACAGAGATCAAAGGCAGCATGAGAGATATTGTAAGCTCCAAGTGTGGCTTGGAGTCTCTCCCCTCAATGAGCACTGGCTGCATTTCAGCACAAGGGCTTCGCACAAGGTCGGTGAATACTAGTGCAAAGAGGAACCCAAGGCTAAGGAGGTTGCAGGGCTGTTCTCCAGGGCAGTGTCTTTTCTACTGAGTTTGTAGCTCACTGTTTTCGCCTGGATGCTGAGTTTGCACTAAACCTTCTCAGCATGAGAATTTTAATGCTGATTCGGTGCTGTACTTTTAGTCTGCTCCCTGGTGGGTGGAAGCAGAGTAAGGGGTCGGGTGCTGCCATGACAGCTCCCCCTTCTCATGCTCTTCCATGGATCTATAAAAGCAACCACACAGAGTAAACAGACTGTGGTTTACTAAACCATTTCAACCTACTGCAACTCTCGTGTGAACAAGACCCTCCACATTAAACATGTTAAAGCTCTGGGAGATTTTGAGGCTGCTCTGTTCCCATCATCAGCTACAGACCCCTAGGAAAGCTCTGGTTTTATGCCTGAAGATGTGAATTCCTTAGGAATCCTGCATCTCATGGGACAGGACAGGGCTGGTGGTGTGAAACAGCCAGAACCTAGATTTGTGATGAAAAGCTAAGACCAGCTGTCCTAAGGATTCATGGGGACAGCGGGCTATGTGGGAATGTTCTCTAGGGATATTTACCTGCTTACACAGAAGGAGAGAGCGCCAAGGGTTGCTCTTTTCTGGTTTGTTAACTTAGCCTCATTTTTAACATGAGATACAATACTCCAGGCTGTCTGGATTGTATAGTCCCTGAGGTAGGGAATGTGGGCCAAATCCCCAGCTGATATAAATCATTTATACCACCGGAGGAGCTGGCCCATGTATTTTACCTGACTGTGAAGTAGAATCCCCAACTGCACTGCTGTAGCAATAAATACTCCTACCAAATAATAACTAATCACCTCCCCTCCCACCCCCACCAATCTGGCCCAGCTGGGCTGGAGATTGGTGCAGGGCTTATTGTGAGTGAGGGGCTGAGCTGGAGAGATTTGCTAGCATCCGGAACATGTCTCCATGGAGCTGGGTGAGGCTGGTGTCTGCGGAAGCCGTGTGGGGGGGGTACACCTGACTGTGGCTGGTGGTGGTTGCTAACCCACTGGGGCTTCTTACATGCTGCCGTCTTTCCCAGCTGAATTTGGACCTAATTTCAGACTGTGAAATGACACTTGGCTCTTGAGGGAATGGGTTCTGCCTTGGAGCCACCCCCTGAAGTTCTTCCAAGTTCTGCTCCCCAAGAGCACGTGCAGGCGTGGCCTGTGCGTGGCGGAGGAAAGGCTGGCCACAATCCTGGTTTGATTCCAGCGGTGACTTCCAATCTGCAAAAGCAAAATGTGTTGTGCAGCCAATGCCCCGGCCCCTCCCCTGTGCTGGAGCAGTCGGCACGTAGCAGCTACGCACCAGCTGCTTCTGTGCTGCAGAGATAAGGGGAGCTGCGTTAGGGCGAGTTGAGATTAAAAATAAGTAATGCGCCCTGGGTGTTCCCCGGCTGGCTTCACTCGTACATGACTGAAGTCACGCAGAAACCCAGGCCAGGGCGTTCAGTGCTGGAAAGTGTTCAGATACCACAGTGAGGGGCCCATTTAAGAGCCAGCCTAGATTAGAGGGGCTTCTGAAAAAATCCTCCAGAAGCCTGCCTCTTGCCTCATTCAGCAGGGCTACTGGCACTGTGTTCTCCCTACGCGTGTACACACATCCTTGGGCCAGGCCAGGATTCTGTGCCTAGCCTGGTTCTTGTGAACAACACACAACAGCAACACTAGGACAGCGGCCTGCTCCCTGGGCAGGGCTCTGGACCCAGCATCAGGGCAACCGGTTCTGTTCCCACTTGTGCCACTGGCCTGGGTGATCTTGGGCAAAGGCGCTTCCCCACCCAGTGCCTCAGTTTCCCCATGTGTAAAATGGGAGCCATGTACAGTGCTCTGAGCTGTACCGCTGACCAGGGCTGCGCCGTGTTGGGCTCACTCCTGGGCTGCTGCCCTGGAAGGCAGAGGAGACAGGAAGCGGACCCGGGCTCAGGGCAAAGCAGAGAGAGGAAAAGGCCTTAAATGGCATTAGCGCCCGGAGAGCAGGGAGCCGGGGCCAGCCGCGGGGCGGGGCTGCTGCGCTTTTCGGGAGGTCCCTGCGCGGCGCAGCGGGGAGGTGTGGCCGGCGACGCGCGTCGCTCCCGGGGCCGCCTGGTGCGGAGCTTGGGGCGCCGCGATGAGCTGAGCCGCCCTGCGCTGGAGCCGGGACTCCGCGGGGCCGAGCTCGCTCTCCGGAGCCCCAGCCCCGCCGGGGAGACCCGGCCCCGGGGGACAGGAGCTTGCCAGGCCCGGCGCCGGCCATGCAGCCCCTGGGCAAGATCCGCAGCTTCGCGCTGGAGCTGGCCGGCGGCCCGGCGCAGGGGGTGTACCGCGGCGGGGAGCTGCTCTCCGGCCAGGTGGTGCTGGAGCTCAGCAAGGTCCTGAAGGTGCGAGCGCTGGAGGTCTGCGCCCGGGGTTTGGCCACGGCGCACTGGCTGGAGAGCAGGAGCGTGGGCATGAACACGGTCTACAGCGACTACACCGCCTACGAGCCCTACCTCAGGGCGCGCTGCCAGCTCATCCGCGGTGAGTCCCTGGCCTGCGCGAGCTGCTCTCCGGTGCGCAGCCCTGCCCGCCCATGGGAGCGGGTCCTTGGCGCCCCTAGGGAGCCACATCGTCCCCCCTTCGCTGTCTGCGTCCCAGTGCCCAGCCCTGCCAGGAGGGTGTCCTGGCACCTGAGCAGGGCGTTTCCTTCACCTCTTCCCCCCTTAGCTGCTGGTACGTGGGACATGGCCTGCTTTGGAGGGCAAGGGCCAGGTTTGTCCCGCCTGGCTCTGTTCCCCGGGGAGCATCTCCTGCTCCTTGCGGTGTGTGGTTGGGCTGAGAGAGGAAGCGGTGCCAGGTGACCCTGAGGGACCTTGGTGCAGCGTCTGCTCTGCGCAGCCCCACGGGAGCCGCTGTTGGGTGAACACGCCCCAGGGGCTCACTTTGAAAAGCTGTGGCTCTCCCCTTTCACTGCCCAAGTCATTGACTCTGGTCTCCAGAACTGGGAGGCGAACGGGGATCTCGACGTACTGCGCCAGGCTCTAGCTGGGAAGGGGATGGTGCATGCACACGTCTCTGGTGTAGCTCCTTACCTCCAGTGCAACGGCGCTTGTGGAGGTGAGATCTGCCCAAGGCAATCAGCATTTTTCCATTTCTGCAGACAGGTAAGAGCTTGCCCGCTTCATGAAAGATTTCCTACCATCTCTGCATGGGCGGAAGGCAGGATCGAGCAACATGAGTTTTGCCTGGACTAGCCCGACACGGGGCTGAGGATTTTACTTCTCTGAAATAGGGCGTCTGGGTCAAATGCAGTCAGACCCTCCCGCTGTGGGGAGTCTAGATCTGGCTCCAGCTCGAGTATGGTGGTGCCGGACATGCAGGGGCTGGGGATCCTTCCTGACTAAATACGAGCCCTGTTTTCCAGTAGCTTGAATTGGCCCTTTCAGGGGCTGTTCCCTGCCCCATGTGGAGGGGGAGTGACATTAGCTCAGTATTAAACCCTGCAAACCAACGGTTCGTTGGCCTCTCCCTGCCCACAGGCCTCTTACAGAAATAAACCCTCGCCAAGGAGAGCTAGGCATTGGGCTCTCACGGGGGGCAGATGATGCCTGGCTCATGCTCAGGGCAGCACTGGCGGTGGTCTAGCTCTGGGCTGTTCCAAACCCTAAATCAGCCGTGGAGCCTAGTCCGGCACTGGCTAATGCCGGTGGGCAAGGTGTCGTGCTGATAGCACTTCCCAGGAAACCTTCCTCTGCCAGGCCCTGGAGACAGGAGATGCCAAACGTCAGAGCAGGGCCAGCATGACCCCCCACCCCCTGTCGTGGCGCCTCTCCCACACCTGGCAGGGAGGAGCAATGAAGGCTCTCTCACAAGAGCTCTGTGAGAAAAGACCCCTGGCTCTGTGGAGCTGGGAGAGGCCAGTGCATGACCCAGGGCACCAGAGGGGATTTCACAGGGGTCACTCCAGGGGGGCTCTTCGGCTTCAGGCCTTTCACAAAGATGCTGCTAGCGAGCTCCGGCCCTGGAGTGCTCATGACCACAGCTCCTGTAAGGACAGGTTTGCCCTGTGAGATGGTGGGGCGGGGGTTCAAATGCTTAACTGACCTATGAGTACAAGTGCCCTTGGCTTTACTGGACTTAAGCCCCATTTCCCACTGAAAGCCAAAGGCACTCACTAAGTGCCTCTGACTCACCTGCTCCCACGCTAGCATCCCCTCGAGGGAGTGCTCTCTGCTGCCCGGCTGGAGGCCTCTTCGGACCAAATCTCTGTACCAGGGGGTCGGCCCTGGGACACACAAAGCTGCCCCAGCTCTTGCTTTGATTGTACAGTGAAAGGTAAACAGCGAAGTCTTCTCAGGTGTGAATGGAGCACTTAGCTGGCAGGCAAATATTTGTTGTTCTTCCATGGCTCTGGTCCAACACACCCCTCCTGGACTTCACCCTTAGTCAGCTTAATAGGGCCGGCCTGCTCAGACCCACCCAGCACAATGCAGCCAAGCTAGGATGGACAGGACTAATAGCACAGGGGTTCTGTGCTCATTAACAGCGATCAAGCCATTAGCTTTGCCTTGGGTAATGAAGATGTTCTCCCCATGGAGTCTCTGCCCAGGAGATACCCGTGGCAGTGATGGCCCAAAGGGAAGCCTTGTTCTGTATCCCAGTCGACCTGATTCTCCCCACCCGGCACTGTGAATGTTGGCATTTTGCTGAAGTGTAAATGCAGACCCAGGTGCCAGGTGGAGGGAGCCAATCCCTGTGAATTCACACAGCGGCCAGGTGGCTGCAGGGGTTGAACTGGGAGTAGACGTGTGACTGCCAAGCATGTAGTTTGCAGATCTCTGGCCACATCTGGCATGGGAACCAGCTGCTCATCCCAGAAGGACACAAGTGATATTTCTGGCTAGAAGAATGTGTTAAACAAAGCTGAATAATCAGATGTGGGATGCGAGGAATCGCTGTCCCAGGTGGGGTGAATCGTGTTCGATCCTTTGGTGAGTTGTTTTTCTTTCAGGTAAGCGCGTAGGGCCAGATATGCTGGTTCACGCTGGCTGCTCTGTGCAGCATCCTGGTGAATCCAGCCCTTGGTTTCCCTCCCCGTTGAGCAGGGGCTCTGGCTCCTACACTGCCACTATATAAGTTACAATGAAAGGAGGGTGAGTGGATAAGGGGGTTGGGGAGAGGCCCCACCATGAGCTCACACAGGGCGGTGCTCTCCTGTTTGCATGTAGCCGTGAGGGTGATTTCAGGAGCTAGGAGGATGATGGGGTGAGTTTTGTTGCCCATTAATACCTGCTGTGATTCTCCCCTGGGAAGCTGTGAGCTGCTGTCTGTGTTTAGATTTCGTGGCTTGGTTCGCATGATGCAAGAGCCTCCTGGAGCCGCGGGGGAAGCACGTAGCCAGACTCTGGAGCAATAAGATCAGTTGCTCTGTCCTGGCAGGACCCTGCTGTGGTGAAGCTTGGAGCTGAGATGAGTATTTCATTGCTGGGCCCTGGCCTCACCCACTGGGGCGGGAAGGTTTAGCCAGGCCCTGTGGGGAGCTGCGGTGGGGTTTGCCGGACCCCAGGGTTGGTGACTTTATTGGCTATGACCTTGTGCTGGGTTTGCGCTCTCCCTGGGGCACCGGGTGTGTGATTGCTGCTTCCTGAAGGACAGGAGGAGGCGAGAGACGTGCTACTGAGAAAAGCCATTGTGCAGTCAAGACTGCTGCCATGGGGCCCCACCCAGCGCTCATACCCCATCGTCAGGAGAGCTGCAGGGGCCCCAGTCCCTTCATGTGGACTGCCGGGGGTGCAGAAGTGCCTGTCGTCAGCACTCTGTGCACCACCCACGTGGCCTCTCCCTGCTTCTCCTGCAGCAGCTGCGGCTTCCTGGTGAGATCTACTGGTTGTCCGGGGTTTTAAAAAAAGAATGCAGCAGGTGCCATGGTAACAACGCAGAGCAGAGCCCTCGTGGGCTGGGGGCTGGGCTTCCTGCTGAGCTATGAGCACCTTAGCGCTCCTCCCGCGTGCAGCCAGGCTCCCAGCCAGGGAGCTGAGCCTAGGGAGATCTGTGCTGCACCCACATGCCCGTCGTGCAGGGGGGTTGTGTCCTGTGGTTCCCCCGGTTTGCTCTGGCCCAGCTGAACTCCGGGTTTACATCCTCTCTCCTTCTCTTTTCCGATCCTCTTTCCAGCCTGCAGAGCAGCAGCATTTCCTCCCCCCCCCTCCCCCCGGGCTGCTCAGGCAGCCCTGCGAAGCTGTGTGCTAAGGGGACGATGTACAGTTGTACCAATTCCTCTGGAAAGCCCAGCCTGAGAACCCCGACTTTCCTCCCCACACGGTGCCCTGTGCCGGGGTCACTTACCCCTGGCAGGCTGGCTGGCAGGCCATGCGCAGGAGGCAGCTGGGTTGTTGGCTCTGGTCTGGCGTGTGCCTCCTTTGGGGAACCCTTTGTTCGGACTGAGTGTGGGGGCAGTTAGGCTCCTGCTGTGTAACTGCCTTAAGCAGACGGACAGAGGGGGCTCAGCGGGCAGAGGCAGAAACGGGAATCTCCTTGGATTCTTCTGCATGAAATAACACACCGGGTATTTAGAGAGCGCCTGTGCCCAAAGCTGCCCTTTCCCAGCTCTGCCATCGCGATCCCAAAGCACTTTACATGGGGTGTAGCACCGGTGGTGGTTATTATCTGCATTGCAGTAGTGCCTGGAGGGCAGGCCCCACCGTGCTGGGCCTTGCACAAAGCTCCAGCAGAGCCGGCCCTGCGCCCAAGAGATCAGTCTAAGGGTAACATTTTCAAAAGCACCTCAGTGTCTTAGGAGCCCGCATTTAATTGAGTTTCAGTGGGATTTTGGCCCCTAAGTGCCTATGTTAGTTTTGACAATGTCACCCTGGGTCTGGGTTTTACGATATGCTCTTTACAGCCAAGGAACCAGTGACACAGAAAGATGAGGGCCTTGCTGGTGCAAACACTCACATGTGGGTGTAATGCTGAGCACGTGATTTCAGTGGGTCTGCTCACCTGGTGTCTGCAGGATCATGGCCCCAGGCAAGTCACACAGGCACCAAAAATGGACTGTAGCTTCGTTGAAGAACCCAGCTAGGGACACTAGGTCCACTTCTCTCTGCAGAATCGAGACTAGGCCTGGTTCTCCATTGCCCTGCACCTTGTGTTTCCATTTATACCAGTGCAAAGGGAGCGCAGTGTGGGGTGAAGTGAGCTGGGGGTGTTTTCCACTGGTGCTGCACTGGTGCAGGTGCCTGGAGAAGCGGCAGGGCGATGCAGAATTGGGCCTCCCGTGCAAAGTGGGCATGGCACACCGCCTTTCTGACGTGGCAGCTTTTGGTACCTGCTTTGCATTGGTGTCCCGAGGTGCCAGGCAGGAGGGAGCTGGGCTCAGTGCCTCTCGCAGGCTCTTACCGGAAACTCCATTGCATTTGAGTCAGAGCTGCCCCTTGATAATTGGCAGAACCCTGGTGGGCTCTTTCCAAGGGCCCGGCCCCGTGGGTGGAGAGCTGCACACGCCCGGCATTGGATCTGCATATTGGGTGGCTGGGCCTCTC